TCGTCGTTAGCATATTGTAAAACCATATTATAATATCCACTGTTATCTATGTATTCAATTTGATAAATATTTATAGTCATTTGAAATATTTATAACTTCAAAAATTATAAATTGCTTGTATGCCTTTCGTGACTCCATATAAAGTAATAACGTTTGGATGATAAGAAACTTTTCATAATAGTTTAAGCTAATATAATGAATTATAAAATTAATTATTCTATTCAGTAGTAGAATACCAGTAAAGTTTTAATATAACAAATAATACCTCATTAATAAAATCTTTAATAATTCTTTCATTAATGTTTGCATCAACTTTATAAGGCATTTAAGAGCAATGGTTAATTCGTTGTCTCTCCACTCATATTTAAGAACCTTTCCAAAACCTCCAACACTGATCAAAATAGGGTCTATAAAGTTATTGTATTCGATATAATTAATATGTCCATCAGAAATAGCTTTTCAAGCCATTCTTCTGGTATGCTTGCCATAACTTTTTTTGTTTGTACTGTATTAGTTTTAGTTAAAAAAAACAACGTTAGTGCGTATACGTATGTACATACGTACATATAATTATAACATTATAAATAGATTATGAATTCTCATATTCACATGACACAAAATACATTATGTACAGTCGAATATATGCATGTATGTAAGATTAGCCAATGGCTATAATTTTTATTAGGAAGGATTATCATTTATTAATTATAGGAAGAAATCATATTAAAAAGTACATTTTCTGGAACCTACTACATATATTGCATCATGCTATCATGCTAACCTTGTATTAGTATGTATGCGCACTTTTTCATACTGTGGGCTTTAACGTTAACAATCTTGATACAAATATAGCTTTAGTTGATTGTTGATCATGCATAAACATGATCACTAACCAGATATCAAATACTGGTACATACGCATGCTACCCCAGTTATGCAAAATACAGGAAATCCAAGGCGTTGTACACTATTCCTGATATAGGCAGAGACATACAAATAAAGATGAAATCATGTGAACAGGTTGTCCAATCGGAATCAAAATTGACACATCACTTAACTTGCCCGTAAACCATACACTTCGTACTTTGTACTCCATTCCTGGTAAATATTAAAGTTGATCAAAGAACCTTCGCGACCAACTTTACAGAGATGATTTTTGTGAAGATACTGGAGAGATAATATGACTCAAATATTCGGGCCAAATGGCATATTTTACAGCTATTGTAAAAATTTATTCCCTTCGTTTGAATCATTTTGAGCATGCCACACTGCAGCAATGGAATTTCTCATGTGACACAAGTTTTTGGGTGTCACTACGGCCAATTATAGTAAAGATTTTCATAAAAAATTTTTTTTCTAGTTTAACTTTCATTTAATTATTTTAGCGTACATATTTGTACGCTAAAATGTACGGTTTAAGGGATAGTTATTTCAATAACATAATCTGCTTGATATTGTCCATTGTAATAACTATGCTCTACAGATTTTAAATACCATGAAAATAGCTTTCTTTTATCCTTATCTGTGATTCTGCAATGCAGATATAATATACACATAGTTATATTCATAGTAGAATCTCACTTTCAACAAATTTTCAGACCTACTAAATATCTTTTTTATCCTTGCTCTGCCTATAGGAAAAAATTCAACATTAAATTGTCCATCTGAATTATATTTTTGCAAAATTTAAATAACCACATTTTTTCATCCTTGTCTGTACATATTAATAGTTTATTCGGATTGCCACTTTTAGCAAATTTCAAATACTGCTTAGATGCATTTTTTTTCATTCTTAGCTATGTCTGTATTATTTTTGTAACATAGTTCAAGATTATAGCGTCCATTTAAATTGCCGGACTTCAAATAACACACAAATACATTTTTCTTTTTTTATCTTTTAATCATTTTGGCAATATAATCCAAGGTTATTTTATCAAAAGGATTGTCACCTTTAACATATTCCAAATACAACAATTTTATCTCTGGTAACTTTTAAATCAAAAAATCAAATTATATACATTTAACTTTGCGTATAATACAAGATCTACTTAAGACATTATGAATTCTTTTTTTCCATAAATGTATTTAGTTCGAGTCCTTATTTAGAGCTCTATATTGCATTATAAGCTTTCTAATAAATGCACAGAACTTATTTGCCAAGTTTTACTTATTTATCACATTATATCAGCTGATTTACATTGTCTAATAGAGAGAGGAGCTCATTGTTTATAATTTTGGTCAAATTGGCAGATCATTTGGCCAGATCTAAAACAACCCAATTTTAAATCTGGTCAAATATCTATAATTTCGACCAGAATTATGGACGATGGTTATTTTATTGATTTAATGAAGTACTATACAAGAATTATTAATCGTATGAATATAATCACTAAACTGTTTTATGAAGTTTTTTGAATGTAGTTACAACAATCAGTATTACGTTGTTTTGATTTTTTCATAGTTGCATGAATGAAGCAATTCTGATTTGTTGATAGCAACTATTCATATAATAGGTATAAGAGTATCTTTTCGACTTTTGATGGAAAATAATTGTTAAGCAAAGCTGGAGGTTTTGTGCTGAAAAATGCAAAACCTAGTTGACAAACCTGATGAAATTGTAAAGGTAATGAGCCTAATAAAAGACGAAGAAACAGATGAATATTTTTGAACTTATTAAAGATGGTGTGAATAAAAATGACAAAAATAAGAAATTTATAAAAATTACAAACCTAATTTATCCAATAATCTGAGATTATAGTTTGGTTTTAAGATGAAAACCTAAGGTTAAAAAAAAAGATGGAAGAGACTTTCCGGAGAACAGCAACACAGTAATTCAAGTCAAGAGAATAAACCCTGATAAAATGGTGAAACTCTAATTAGTGCACGGCAAAATCAAACAAAAACTTGATTTTCAAGTTTTCGAATCCATCAATTTATAGAATTGGGCATTAAATACGAATTTTATTTTTAGTAAATATATAAATTTAACAGCCATCCGATATTACTTTAGACTTCATGTTAACTTATCATGAAGTTTAAAAACAGATTAGGGTAAAAATAGATTTTGTAATTAAAACATAATACTGTAAATCGATAAATTTAAAAACTCAAAAATCAAGTTTTTATTTGATTTTGCCGAACATTAACTCCAATATTTTTAACCTAATATTACATAAAAATAAATTATGTGTTTGAATATAAAAAATTTAAAAATTAAAACATAGCTATAAACACTTAGCAACATACATGAATAGCTGACATAACTTAATGTAATATACAGTAGATAATGTTAATAATGTTGACAACATCATAATGTCAGGAAATAGCGAGATATGCGTAACGAATTGCGTGCACGTGAATTAGATAACAAAAGTTAAAATTATCTCCAAAAAAGGACATCAATAGGATCAGTATCACTTTCATCAGTAAACAAATCGGGAATTCTACTATCAATTTTATTGCTTCATGTACAGACGCACGGATTATCACAGTAGTAGTATCTAATGCATCATATGTTACATAATAGATCGAAGACCAGAAGACTTCATTTTATTCTAAACCTTTTCTGATAATTGGATCAAAAACGTGGTTGTCCCAACTGAAACCAAGTAAAGCTTTAATATGATGTAAATATTGCTCTAAAGAAACAGCATTTATGAGGGCTTTACGCTTTGAATTAATATTGTTGTAAAGTCCTTTTCATAAACTTTTTATTATTCATGACTACAGCTCTTAATGCTCTTGTATTAATCTTTGTTCTTTGTAGATTTTATTTGAGCACAAAAAAAAAAAAGAAAAAGCGACTATCCATTTCATTATTATTATTTTTATTATCATTTTAATAAAAAAATCTCAAATTAAAAAAACCCCGATGGTGGCACAAATAAGAAAGCTAAACAAAATGCTGCATAAAAATAACTTTGAAAATAAAGACTTACGAAAAGACAGAAGACATAGAAAAAAGGTCAGAACTAGAAATTTACATTTATAAGCCGATCAAAATTTATTTATTTATTTTTTGCAAAGTTATATCAGAGTAGCAACTAAAGTTTTAGACTATTTGTATTTATTTTATTTTATTTATTTATTTATTTTTATCTATTCGATTACAAATTCTCTTTTTCAAAATATGAAATATTGTGTAATTTAGTGATATAATTAAAGCTTGTCAGACTGGATATGCTATTATGTAATTTTTGAACTTAGTAGTGTTAAACCAAATATAATAAATAGGATTGGACTACGAGACCTCATTTAAGTTACAAAATATAAGTTACTAAGCAGGCAACTTGAAGACTTATTTTAAAAATAATATTTATATGATTACGAATTTGAATTCTAAAGCAGGTCAGCTTTAAGATTAATTGAACAGCATTAAGTAGTGTAACATTCTTAGTCATATAAGTTACTTAAATAACTTATGTACCAAACTTTTTTCATAAAATTTATAAATTTTTTGCACAGGTAAATTAATAATTATAACAAAAAGTATTACTTTTTAACTTTGAGACTCTATTTGACAAATATCTTCTAATAATCAACGATATATACGAAATGGTCTGACTATTTTAAAAAAAAAAATAATCATAATTGATGTGATAATAGATTAATCTTAAAGTAATTTAAATAAATAATCTAAATTAGAAGCAAGAGATGAAGAAGAGCTATTAGGTAAAGAAAGTGTCATTAAAATTAATGTGCGTGTTATTATTTAACGTAATGTAATTAGTATCAATATGTGGAAAGAAACCGTTTTGGGTTGGCTGGTTAATGTTGAAGGAATGGGTACGCCAAATTGATATTCAGTTAAAGTAAATGTGTGATCCTGTTCGATATTTGCGACTTTACCGATGCGTTATCTAAAATCTTTTATATATTTTTAACATATGTAATTCTAAAGCTAGCTAACACATTTCTTTATTTATTTATTTATTTATTATTTTTATGCCACTTCACATTCTTACTAAATACTTCATAGATAGATTATTTTACTTATTACGTTTATTTTTCTTTCTCTCGCGAAGTTATTTTCAAAAACATTAGCTGATCTATTGGCCGTTTTTGGTCCTCTCTTTTTAACTGATTTAACGTAAGTACACTTGAGGTTATATGATGCACAATATGTACAAGTAGCTTCTTCGGAACATTTTGTGTGTTTTTTTCGGCAATTAGTACATGCATTAGTTGCGTAAGGGCCGCGTCATTGCTCATTTGAATAAGACATGGCCAACCAAAGTATTTTACTAACAAGTATAAATATAATAAATACAGAAGATATTAATAATAGCATTAAATATTTGCTCTCTTAAAGTTTATGATTAAAAAAAAAGGATGCGAATGTTTTTGTATTTCAGTATTTATAAAAAAGGTTTATTATGATAGTACATTAACGACAATAATTGTTTGAATTTCAGGAATTTACGCTTTCGTGTAACAAACGTTTTCGTGTAACAATATTTGTCCACCTTTTTCGGAAAGTCATCTTTTACCGATAATCACACTGCATAAGATGGCGGGAAATTTTTATTACTAAAATAGAATATAGAACCAATTTTTATTATAAAGTGTACTTTATATGGTCACAACAGAACAATAGTAGAATTACTATTCGACAAATATCAATTACAAATATTTGTCTGCTTTCCATATTTATCATTTTTGTCTTTCATTTGTTCGTAAGGAAAAAAGTTTGTCCCATGATTGACCAAATTTGTTAAATATAGTATACTGTATTGATGAACTAAGAGATTTACAAAAATGTACTCATTATAAGTATTTCTGTTAAGAGTCTGTAGTATTTTGCAAGGTTTTGTATATCAAAAAAAAAAAAGTTAGCAAAAACGAATTTCAACAATGGTAAGTTTCATGGATCTTGGTTCCATTTCTTTTATGTAGGCTTTCAAGGTTATTCATATTTTAATAAAAGGTATAAAAGATATTTAAAAGATTGTCCTTCGGGCGAACCTGATAAACTCGAGTTTCAAAAAAATATACAAATCAATTTTCCCCTCACGATCATTTCCGGTTTGCTGAATACGTTTTTGATATATTTGATGAAAATAAGAATGGAAAAATAGAATTCAAAGAGCTTATAGTAGGTGTCTAAAAAAAACAAAAAGGCATATTCGGGCCAATAAGAATTACAGTAATACGTATATTAAATATAGAATCATTAAAAAACCACCAAAACCTTTTTAGTAACTTTTCATCTCACCTATAGGAAACGCCGAAGAGTTATTTTGACCAATCGTACCTTTACTAACAATAACTGTTTTTTACTATTTGACAAACGTATGGTACAAAAGTTTTGATGTAACAAATGAACACACAAAAAACACAAGTTATGTTGTCAAAAATGGAAGCAAGCAGAATATAAAATTTTATATCTATCAGATTTTATGGCACATCTATTAAAAATTGAAAATTATGATGCTAAAAAGGAAAGACAGAAATAAATCAAATGGGACTATATTAAACTGGATAAATTATTTTATCAATCTTTATCAAGGCCGTGATTTTTAAACCAAGAACTGAAACAACTCCTGAGATAATTGTGCCGTATAAATATATCGTCCGGAAAGTTAGGTCGGAAGGGCATTAACATTCGGATGTAAAAAAAAATCACTATTTACGTAATAATATATATTCGTATTGTCATTAGCTTACCATTATTTGATTTTTTTTCCTGCAGAAGAAATTTGTTGCAAGGATGTAATTTAAATTTTAATCTGTTATTTCGTTAATTATAAGCAAAGAACCATCAAATTAATGCTTGATAAACATCGAACTAGAATTTGAAAATAAGAAAAGCCCAACCGTCTAAAAAAGATATTCAAATCAGGTTGATATTTTAAATTTTTAATAATTTCTCGCCGGCATTGAATATTGAACACGAAAAATCCGAATCCTTATCAATAGGCAAGTTAGTGTCTTCAGAAAGAAATATCAACCAATTTGAATGAAGTGGGCGTAAAAAAGGATCATTTGCAAAAAGAGTACTGTACGTAGTTTATCGAAGAATGTCATAAAAAAACAACCCAAATAGTTAAAAATAAATAAACTGTTAGAATATTGAAATTCAAGTTTATTTGTATTGTTTCTATGTATTAAATATATATTGTAAATTGCATTCAATTGTTATTGAAAAAAATAAAGCCTTAAAAAATTTTTTGAAGGCATATTTTCTGGACCATCACCCAAACCATCATCCGAACCCAACCTGGTACACATTTTCTGGGCGCTAAATAATTTTCAATCATATTTACCAATATTAAAATGTTATTTCTAACGGTGCTACAAAAATTACTGTAGTGTGGTTCTATCATGTCTACAAAATTCGCGTTATTGTATCAAATTTATGAGAATTCGTATCACATTTATATAGACCGTCATTTTTATTTATTATTGCTTGATCAGACTTCATTTCCATAACGAGAAAAAACATATGGAAAATATGCTCGCTATCTTAAATGGAACTAGTTCCACATCTTATATGATATCTAGAGAAAAAAAATATAAATCTATAATTCCGGAGGCTTTATTCTCAATAAGTCACATAGGAAAATGACTTATTGCATTGAAGATAATCAATGGGCAGTATTATCACGAATAAGTAAGAGGCGGTGCGACCGGGTTTTAAAATTAGCTTGCACAAGATGCACATGTACGTACGTACGTACAAGAATTTTGTAAAAAAAATTTATGCGTGAAGTAAAATTTTGGAAAAAAAGTTGCACAAAATTTATGTAGTAAATATATATTTTATAAAAACTATATTCGTAGCAAAAAATTTACTTACTTGCAACTGTGCAAGTAAGTTTTGTTCTGAATCTTAAACACTATGTGCGACTTACAAGATCATACAGTACATATCAAACATGACTGAATACATTCGAGCTCAATCAGGACGTATACATTTGGGAAAACGGACGTTACTAGATAGAAAAAATTCGAACTTCAAGCTCAGTAATCGAATAGTTGAGGGAATTAATTCTACATTTTAAAGGTTTATTCGAATTGAATATACAACCGGACCCACCACAATACCTGCTGACAAAGGATCAACACTCAGTTGAATTAGAAATAAAGGGTTTCTGGAAGACACATCATTAGTAACTGTTCCAAAATAACAATCCATCTTATTCACGTTATGAATATACAGTATTTGTGAGTATAATTCATTTTGACAAGGGTCAACGAATAGAAAAAAGAGAAGACTTGTTATAATCTTTCACAGAACACACTCAACTAACATCAAACTACATGATACAAGTCAAAATATTTTTTTAAAAACCCACCTATTTTAACTGATGACATTAAAAAGAGGCCCCGGTAAACAAATTAATAATTATTCGTTCCCTAATCTTGACTAATCAAATTTCAAATTCAGTTGTGACGTAAAAAATCGAAGCGAAAAAAAAACCACTAAATTTTAATTAAGAAACTACTTCTGCGGCCTAATTAAAAATGTCCCTCATGAAATTTACCACTAAACATAAACTCTAACCCTAACTATAACGTAGTTTTATTGACTTTAATTTTTTACAAGAGTGGAACAATTTTTTGTGGGTGCTTTACCTAAAATCTTTTTCTTCTGACGTCACTTAGCCTTATATACAACTGTTGATTTTCTTAACATAGCCCTTCACACTCTCACTCTACATAGTAGTTTCCTGATTTTGCTATTTGTAAAACCTTTATATATGTATTCTTCTGAGAATGACCATAAGTGTGCATTTATAGAAGGATGTGTTTAATAAAATAGTTTGTTTTTTAAAGTCGTTAGTAGTTGTGTTTAGGTATATTGTATAAATGGTGCAGGTATAGTGCATACTGTCATGGGGGCACGTCTTGAATGTGTGCCAGGTTGGTGGCGCAGTTTACCTAAGCCCCGGTGATCAAAATTAATTGTAATAATTAATATAATCAACTTTTTTATTAAGTATTATAATTGATATTTCTATATTTATTTTTTATTTTATTGGATTTTTCCATACTCTTTCTGCTCAACATTAACAACTATTCATAAATAGTATGGATGAACTTCGAACGTTGTAGAAGGCTAAACTAAATGGATAATAACTAACTATCACACAAAACAACTAACAACACTAGAAATCTATAAAGCGGCAAGACCAAAACTCCAAAATTGGTAGGTGTCGATCGAAGCATGGAAGACTTGGTCCGAGTTTTTTTCAGAGCTTGGATCTTGTAGTCACAATATTGGGACTCAGATAAGTCTTCTTTTACTTATTATCTGATATTAGCTTGTATTGTATTATGTCAATACAATACTTATAACTCTACTTATTCTTTCTTTTCGAATCTACTGCTTATTTTGGGATCACGTGTCACGTGGGTCACGATTATTAATTGATATACGTAATCGTAGAATAATGGCGAAATTGATCAAGGTTCAATCAATAATTAATTTAATATAAAAGGGTTCTGAGTACTAATCGTGAATTTTCTCTCTTTACTCTTATGGTATGAAAATACTGAGTTTGCACTATATCACGGGGACAAGGATAATAATATAAAATGAAAATATGATAATGTTTTTAAGCAAAGTGAACTACTACTATTATGACTTCGTAATTAAAACTCGAAGTGAGTTGTTTTTATTCAATTATACATTGGGTCTTTATATACATTTTTCAGCATAGGAGATTTTTCTAACATATCTTCTCTATCTACTCGATCTACATTATCTACTCTTTCTGCTACTTCTGCGGGTCAAGCAAATTCCGGGCTGAAGATCGCTGAAGATCACTTCCGATCATAAATTTCGTAGATCGGATCCAATAAAATTACAGGATCTTGTGTAACAAAACAAACGCAAAAATTGCAAAAAATTGCAAATAATGCAAAATTTTACTATGCTAACTAACTTCCGACCTTTAAATAAAAGTCTTCGGCACGAAATTTTAGTCATAGGGAGCATTTTTATATACTAAATATATAGGAAATTTTTGATATACTATGACCCAAAATTTTTAGGCTGGAAATGATTTTAAGCCCGAAATTTGCTTGACATAAGGATACCCCTACTTCTGCCTGATCTGCCATTTCTGCCATATCCGACAGATTTGGTAGATTTGGCAATCCAACCAAGCAAAAATTATTCCAAATTATCTCAGTGACGATCTTTCCCTCTTACAATGCACATATGATATTTTGAGCGTAATGCCAAAAAATTGGCATTGGTACATGGAGTTAACGAACAAAGGTTTTTTTTCTACATTTATTTGGATTTTTTTTTTTTAAATAATATCAATACATACAATCATCGATATATTTCTGATTAATTTGAAAAGATTATGATTTTCTACAATTTATCTGCTCTTTTATTATTTTCATTTATTAGTATTATTTTTATTATTTTTATTAGGTCAAGTCACAAAAGGCAATTCCTTTTATGCTTCATTATAGCCTGGTTCTATTTTGCAAGACCATTTACAAATTCAGAATCATTTAATAAAATATTAGAAGTAACTTCAAAGTATACTTATTATTAATTTTTTTTGTTGAATTAATAAATAATTTATTTTACAAAATGAAGAAGTAACAACTTTTAGATTGAGCTGAATGAAGTTAATGTTTTAGTAAAATAATTGGTGGTTTTTCAGTTGAGCAGAATGAGAGGTTGATATTTTCTTGCAAGAAATCAAAATTAATTACCAAAATGCTAATTCTAATGTTTTACCACTTTGAATAAATTTATTACAAAATATTGCATATCAAAATTGCTTCAATCTCACAATTGACTTCCTTATTGCATGGTAATAGCTATAACACAGATTTGTCACATGTTAAAAATAATGTTATAATCTATGAATTTGATAAACGACGTAAGTTGAGTAGGTCTATCGAGCTAAAAAGTCATTATTTTTTTCTTATCAATACTGTTAATCTTTGTTAACAGTGATTTAAATGTTGAGTCTTGTAATTTTACTATGGTGTGGCTAACTATGCCACCAATCTGGCACACTTTCAAGGAATGCAATTTTATAGAAAACTAGTAGAAAATAAAAAAAACACTTGATAAAGTTAAAAGTAATAATTATATTAGCGAAATATTTAATAGCAACGCATTAAAATTAGAAATAATAGGACAAAGCTCCTTTTACGATAAATTTATAAGTGTTCAATTGATAACGATATAGAAAAAATAATTTCTGAATTAATGCTTAAACCAGATTCATTGAATCGATATTATATTATGTCATTGGTTTACTAAATTCAGTAATAATGATGATTATAATTCTATCAGACCAAGAGAAGTTGATGACCAATCATAATTGTAGACATTACTAACAAAGTCTGGTTCATCATCCACAATATTATTGATTTAGGTAGATATAAACTAGAAAATAAATAACAAACCTATAAAAGAAATAATGAGTTATTTAAATAGGCCATAGTTAAGATAAGCTTTGTAACTTACATCTAATTGTTGAAAGGAAATTTTTTTGTTAATAGTTAAAGCTCAATATTCTTGATCCAAACATGACTTTTATATATTTAACTAGGATTATATAAATAAAGTTTGTTTGTTTTTTATATATATATAATATGTACAGCATGTACAGTATGTATTTAGCATTAAATTTCTCTTGAGATAATTTTATACTCAAACAGTTTTTCACGATAAATTCAAAAAATAAATTCTGTGAATAAATTTTAGATTTGTATCACAAAAAAAACCTTTATTGTACACATAAAAATTATTCAATTAAATATGCTTGACTAAGTCATACATATCTGTTTTTTACAAAATCTATATCATAGTGATCTTGTGTTATCAATTTTGACCAGCCTGATTTGAGAGTTTACAACATAGTTCCAAGTTTTTTTGTTTACATAATCAGTTTTTTTGCCTAACTTTGGTATAATTAATTATAATTGGTTAAATAAATACATGTTTTTTAATTAAACACCTGATTTTTAAAATATTATAAACATTATAATAAAAACAAAATGAAGAATTTACAAAAATCGAGAACTCTTTCCGATGATCACTGTAACCAAAACCGGAGCAGAACCAAAGTGCAAGAAAAGTTACAACAGTACTAGATAAACTTGCAGTGAGCGATTAGAATAAAATAGTAGTTGTTGTAAGAGGAAGATTTTTTCTTAAGACACTAGACCTCAATAAAAAGTAAATAGGCTAGTTTTTTTGAAAGAAGGTTTTTTGGCAAAGAAATTTTTGGAAAAACAGAAAAATTGACTAGACCCCAAATGCAGATCTCTACTTGTGACATGTAAACAAACAACAACGTGACAAGTTTACAAATTAGGTTATTTAATGTAAACAAATAAACAAAGAAGCAGACACATAAACAAACAAACCAAGAATAGAAGTCTAGATTGTTATGCAGGAACCGGTAACACTAAACAGCCCGGAAACATCGAAAATGTCGAAGAGTTATACAAAGCTTGAGGAATACCGAGGCATGTTTAAAAGATCGGTAAATGAACAGAATTTGATAATAGAAAATCATAAACCCAACATTTTGCATAAAGATAAAGAAATCGCAGCACTTGTTGGTACAGAACCAGAAACAGTGTGTGTGTTCCGAAATGTAATTGAGCTTTACAACTATTGTAAGTATCTGCGAGCTAGAGAAAGCGAACTAGTCAGTCAAGATAAAAGTATAGTTTCTAAATTAAAGAAACAGGACATTAAAAGTTTAATAGACCATAAAGTTGGATGCGTTGATTATGGTATTAAAGAGATCCAGTCCAACAAGAAGTCTGGATGTGTAGTAAAGAAGATAGTAAGCAAGTAAATATACTTGAAGAAGCATTTGTTGTAACTCCAGAGAAGAGTAAAGAGCAAGATGAAGATCTTAGTGGAAATAAGGATAAAAGAGCCAAATTAAACCACGATAGATCAGCAAAAGCTTTGGAAAAGCATGATAAGATGGTAGTTGATAAACAAGATCCATTACAATGAAAAGAAAGTGTAGTTGGAGAAGGGAACATTAAAGATGGTGAGGTGCAAGTTAACATACACCAGGATACAGTGGTGGTAAAGCCAAAGCCGATACATATAATAGAAGTACCAATCGAACCAGAAGTAAGTAAAGAAATTGGTGAATCAACGAATAGTTAGCCAGTAGAACATCACGTGAA